TAGAGACACAAATAGACAGTTTCAATTCTAATTCATAGAACACCGATGTGGACAGATATTCTAAGATGCCATCTGTGAAATCAAATGAAGTGAAATGAAGTGAGGTGAAGTGAAGAAAAGAGAACGCAAAATAAAAAAAGAAAAAAGAAAAAGAAAAAGAAAAGAAAAGAAAAAGGAAGAAAAAGAGACAAAAATAAGTAAGTAGTAAAGAAGTAAAGAAAAGAGGAGTAGAGAAGAGAAGAGACGAGAAGAGACGAGAAGAGAAGAGAAGAGAAGAGAGGAGAGGAGAGGAGAGAAGAGAAGAGAAGAGAGGAGAGGAAAGGAGAGGAGAGGCCCTGCTGCCTTCGAGGAATCCGTTCCTTGGCCAAGAGACCTTCCCTTTCTCGGCCCTTTGTCGTTTCGATATCGAAAGGGTCGGCGCGATTCAAGGACAAAGGGCGAACCTTTACACCGGTCGCGATTCACGAAGCAAAAACGGCAGCTGTTGTACTTCTTTTCCTTCTCACTCAGTCATTCACTCACTCTCTCTCTTTCTCTTTCTCTCTCTTTTCCTTCTTATTGAAGAAAGAAAGAAAGAAAGAAAAAAAGAAAGAAAGAAAGAAAGAAAGAAAGAAAGGAAGAAAAGCAAGATGGAGGAAGGAAGTACATAGGATAAGAACGGATACCCTTCTTCTACAGCTTAAACCTAAACCTAACCCTTACCCTAACCCCCCTACACACACTTCTAACTTCATCCGTTCTTTTTTTATATTTTTTATATTTATTATTATTATCATTATTATTATCATCATTATTATTATTATTATCATTATTATTATTATCATTATTATTATCATAATTATTTTTTTTTCTCTAGTTTCCCCCCTCCCCCTCTCCCCAAGGATTTCGATCTTTCCTATAACCATAGTCTTGTATTTGAAAGAAGAACACGACTCCCGAAAAAAAAATTCGAGAGAAAGACAGACAGAGAGTGAGTGAGAGTGAGTGAGTGAGAGAGAGAGAGAGAGGAGAGAGAGAGAGAGAGAAAGAGAGAGAAAGAGGAAGGGTGAGGTAAGGGAGAGTTGGCCCTTTAGGATGGGCACGTGTCTTAC